TGGAGCTCATAGGCAGTGCTGGATGCTATCAGACGCAGGTCAAGCAGCGGGTTACTTGTTGGACTTGCATGTGTTTCACTCTCAAAGCGGAGAAAGGGGCAAGTGAGTCCAAGGGAACTGGGAAGATTTGGCAAGGGGCAGAGGAGGCAGACCCCCCACCCCTGGGACCGCTCCCAGCAGAGCTCTGCCACAAAGCTTCAGAACTGAACTGACACGGGGACCTTTCCCTCAGGCCAAACCAAACATAGCATCTTCCCCAGCTAAAGGTCTCCTTAATGCGGAACAATTGCTGCTCAGCTTCCTTTCCAGGACCCATTTCCCACAGACAAGGGCTAAGCCCTGAGCAGTAGAACAGCCCCTGGTAGGAGCAGAAACCCAGTTGATTCCCAGAAACAAGGGACTGCGCCTTGCACCCTTAATCACAAGTGCTTGTAGGGGGAGTTATTTCCAAAGCAGGGCTCCAACAATATCAATTCTCCTTAGCCCTGGAGACATGGAGTCCTCACAGGCAGGAAAAAATTAAAAGCTACGGAGCCAGAGCAGCACTCAGCTCTTACCTGAAAAGGAAGCCCGGAGTCCTCTTCCTCATGGACACGATGCCCAAGAAGTATTTTTGTTGTGGCTCCTCCTTGATGGGACATCTGCAAGGAAACACATCAACAGAGCATGAGTGAGTGGAGTCAAGAGCGAGTCAACTAAACTAATAGTTTGTGCTGGTCACACTTAGCTTCCCAATGACAACCTTTGCATCTGTAGGTGCATGACCATGGGGAATTAGACAGTGGCACCTATGTGGAAGTTGAGCTGACTTGGTGTGGAGTTCACTGAAGGCCTTAGGGTGAAAATCAGAGATGGATAGGACATTCATAGATATTAAACCACACAAGCCTGTCCAGGTCAGCCTGTATCCGCAGCCTGCCCTCAAGCACGACCACACTCCCCCATAATTTGGTGTCGTCCGCAAACTTTGCCAGTACACTTAACACCCAAATCTAAATCATTGATGAATATGTTGAAAAGCACTGGTCCCAGTACTGAACCCTGAGGGACGCCACTCGTCACCTTCTGCCATGTCGACTCAGTTCCATCTATTAATGCTCTCTGGGTCCTCGGAGCCAGTTACCTAGCCACCGGACTGTAAAGTAGTCAAGGCTGCATTTTCCATTTCATTCATCAGTGGCTCTATGCTTCCCTTATTTTTTCTCTGACTTCCTACATATCTAAAGAAGGACTTTTTATTTTTCTTCATTCCAGTTGCCAATCTGAATTTGGTTTCTGCCTTTGCTTTTCTAATCCCCTCCCTACAGGTGTAGGCTATGGCTGTGTACTCCTCCTTGGTGGTAATTTCTGACTTCCATCCCTTATAAGCTTCTCTTTTCAATATCAGGAGGTCCATGACATTCCTGTTGAGCCAAGGGGGTCTCCCAGCCCTTTTCCAGCCTTACGACAAGAAATGGACTTCCTTTGTGCTCCAAGGATCGCATCTTTGAGGAATGAATGCTCTTCTTGTACTCCCTTCCCCATCGGACTACAGTCCCACAAGGCCTCACTAACCAATCTCCTAGCCTTGTGGAAGTCAGCTTTCCTAAAATCATGGATTTCTACCTTACTGAATGATTTCCCTGTCTTACAGTGGGTGAAGAAGGTGATCATCTCATGGTCACTGTCACCTAACTGCCCTTGCATCCTTAGGTTGCTCACTACTAGATCATCCCCTTTGGCCAGAACCAGGTCCAGGAGCGCCTTACTCCTGATCAGCCCATAGACTTCTTGAGTCAGATAGAGCTCTTCAGTCCCCTTCTACATGCTCTCCCCGTATCTTGACCAAGAGGGTTTCAAGTCACCCTTCTTTATTGCCAATCTCCACCTCTAGAGAGGTGTATTGTTCCTTCACATAGAAGGAACATCTATGAATATGAAGGAGTCAAGTCAGTGTGAGGGGCACCCAGTGTGTGGGTCAGCAAACGTCTCTCCAGAGGTGGGAATGGACGTTCAAGAGAGATTTCATAGAATCATAGAACCATAGAAGTCGGGTCGGAAGGGACCTTGTAGATCTTCAAGTCCGACCCCCTGCCTGGGCAGGAGGAAAACTGGGCTCAATTGACTCCAGTCAGGTAGGCATCAAGCCGCTTCTTAAAGACCCCCAGGGTAAGAACCAGCACCACTTCCCTTGGAAGTTGGTTCCAGATCCTAGCCGCCTTAACTGTGAAGTAGTTCCTATGGATGTCTAATCTACACCTATTCTCCAACAACTTGTGGCCGTTATTCCTTGTTATCCCGGGGGGCGCTAGGGGAAACAAGGTCTCCCCAAACCCTTCTGGTCCCCCCTAGTGAGTTTGTAAATGGTCACCAGGTCCCCCCTCAGCCTTCTCTTGTGAAGGCTGAACAGGTTCAGGTCCCATAGCCTCTCCTCGTAGGGTCTGCCCTGCTGTCCCTGGATCATGCGGGTGGCCCTCCTCTGGACCCTCTCAATGTTGTCCACATCCCTCTTGAAATGGGGTGCCCAGAACTGGACACAGTACTCCAGCTGCGGCCTGACCAGTGTCATGTAGAGGGGGAGGATCACCTCCTTGGACCTACTTGAGATGCACCTGTGGATGCACGATAAGGTCCAGTTAGCCCTGCCGACCGTGACCTCGCATTGTCGGCCCATGTTCATCTTGGAGTCAATGATGACTCCAAGATCCCTTTCCGCCTCCGTGCTCTCAAGAAGGGAGTTTCCCATCTTATAAGTGTGCTGCCAGTTACTACTGCCCAAGTGCAGCACCCTGCACTTGTCTGTATTGAAACCCATCCTGTTTTTGTTAGCCCACCCCTGCAACCTATCCAGGTCTTGCTGCAGTCTTTCCCTCCCTTCTAATGTGCCCGCCTCACCCCAAATTTTGGTATCATCAGCAAATTTGGACAGGTTGCTTTTCACCCCATCGTCCAAATCGCTGATAAAGAAATTTCTGTGCGGAGGTGATGGATTCTCCTGATGGCTGGACACGAGGAGTCCCTGCAGGCGGGAAGAGACTCTATCTACTGAGCCACAGCAGTTTAGCTGTCACCTGAAAGGGAAGCCAGTGTACCGGAGAAGTGGCTGGTTGAGCTGCCTGGCCATCTTAGGAAGCAGGCTTGGGTTTTGCCAGAGTCTGAAACAAAAAGCAAGTAGTCAGACAGTCTTTCAAGGGTCCTGTGCCCCAAGCCAAATAAAAACATTAATTAACAGATAAAACACTAAAGCAAAGCCTGACTCCTCAAGGCAATCTATTCACTGGTTTCTCCAGGGTTTCACCCTGTGCTTACACAAGACAAAAGGGGATGATACAAGACATGGGATCCCTTTAACACTGGCTACATCCAACAGCAGGGTCAGAGTCGTCCCAGACCAAGAGTCTGTCTCAAAATCTTCAGGAGTCCGAAGGCGACAACTGTCAGGTGTTTTTAAGAAGAATCGTCACCGGGGAAATGTCGAATGAAAAGGTGACATTGCCGTTAAGAGGAGTTTATACTTTTTTCCACATGGCTCGAGCATGCTTGGTTTTGCAACTCGGGTTTTTCAGTGATAGTGGTTGGCTGGAGCCAGGCTTGGCCTCCTTGTTTGCCTGGAAAGTGAAACATTGGTGTTACCGATGAGACTCTGAGACCCAGAAAGCTGCCCAAGAAGCCCAATTACTTAGCAAAGAAGCAGCAGCACAACATCATCCAGCCTTGCCTGTGGCAAATCATGTGCTGCAGTAGTGGAGGGATGTAACACCCACACACACTTGGGGCTGTGCGTGGTCAAGTGTGTCTGGTTTTATTTTGCGGTATATCTTGTTTGTGCTGTATATTTTGTTTCCTCTGGACTGGAGAGACCCACCTCCCATCTAACTGTATTGTGTCCAGACCTGTTGTCTTAAGACTCCTCAACAAAGCCTGTAAAACCAGTTGAGTGACTGGCCTGCTCTGCATGTACAGTGTCGGGTGAGGCTGCTTTGGGCTGGGGCCCTGGATGAGGTCAGAAAAGTGATTTCAGGTCAAGGCCACCTGGTCTGGTCTCTCTTCTTCCTCCTGGGGCTGCTGATGTCTGAATGCTGATTTGGGAGCCAGAAAAGCCTGCTTCCCATGGAGAGAGGGGGTCACTCCCCACTCTTCACTGAAGAAGCAAACTGAAGCTATGTGAAGGGAAAGCCTCAGGGAGAGGGAGAGAAAGACTGTCTCAGGGCCTGAGACCTCTGTTCTCTCCCTCTCCTTTCCCATTTTTTTGGGGGGGTTTTTGAGTGGGATGATCCTGTGCAGGGGGCATCATCCACTGCGGCAAAGTGGCGAAGGTTGAAGCCTGGCAGTTTTGCTGGCACACTCTCGGCCAGGGCTGAGAGCCTGGCAACTTTTAGTTGCTGTTGCAACGTCTTTTGGGTTCAGCTCTGTGTCTTGCTGGCTGTTTTGGCCACGCAGGCCTTGAGTGGGATGATGCCAGGAGTGTATCTTCCTAGTTCAGGCTGCCCTGGAGCGGGGTCCTGGCAGTCATTGCACTGGGGACTGTAATGTCTCAGTGTGCTGGCATAGGTGAGCCTACATGTCCTGGCTGCAGCTATAATATATAATATATGGGCCCTTTTTGCTGTTTTACAACTGCTGCATTTCAGCCCAGTGGTGTGGGGCTGAACCCCAGCCATATGTTTGGCTGGCAGATTTGGGCTAGGGTGAAGCCCTGGCACTTCTTGTTGCTTATTCAGGCCTCAGTGGTGTATAGGCCTGGTTGACTTTTTGCTGCCCGGTCCGGGCCCAGTGAAATAGGCCTGGGCCTACTTTTTGTCTCTTTTGCAGTTTATGCCCCAATCAAGTGCTGTGCTTGGGCGCTTGTTCTAGTTCAGGCCCAAGACAAAATAGGCCCGGGCCCCCTGTTTTATCAGCAACTAAGGAAAGCCACAAAAAGAAACACCAAAAACAAATTTCACACTGAATAGGATTTTGTTCTTCCAGGGTGTCCTAACAGGTGCATTGTAAAATGTGAAAAGCAACTTCACTCTCCGCAGGGCTAGAGAGGCCTCAACTAGAGCCCCATGTCCTTTTTCTGGACCCCAGACTTTCAGAAAGAAGTTGACACATTGGAGGACGATCTGAAGAGAGCAACATGAATGAGAAGAGGCTTGGAAAACATGACCAGCACGGAAAGATGGAGGGCACTGAGTCAGTTTCTTCCCCCAAGCAGGTTAGTGTGGAGGGAGAGATAGGTTGCTAGCCTTTAAAGGTGTGAAAAAGGGATTTCTAAAGATGACCGGGATTGTTTGTTCCCTTGGAGGAGCATGAGAACAAGCCATCTTACAGGACGTTGGAAATTGGGAAGAACTGTCTAGCCGTAAGGAGAACTGTGGGCTGGGAGAGGGAGGATTGTTGAATCACCTTCACTGCGGGGTTTTCAGGCCAGGAGAGATGCCCCTCTGTCTGTGCTGGGCCAGGTGTCACTGATCCTCCTCCAAGCAGGGGATGGACTGGGTGATGCCTCGAGGGCCCTGCTGGGCCTGAAACTTCCTCACATGTAGCCCCAGCTCTTAAGCCCCAGCTCTGGCCGCTCATTCCCACTGTCCTCTGTCTCCCCAGCAGACAGGAGCGCACTCCTTACAGAACGGGCCAAGACGCCTGTGGCAAAGTGTGGCTCCTCACCTAGCCACAGTGCTAGGTTCCCCACTTGCCAATGGGCATGCCACCCACCTGACTCATCTGCCATGCCTTGTTCTTAATTAATAGTTGTTAATTAAGGCAGGAGGCTGCCCATTTTATGCCCCGATGCCAGGGGGTGTTATCTGCAGCTCTGAACCTCCCCTACACCACAGCCCACGCAGATGGCATCCAGATGTTACAGTGCTCTCGGCCTACAGCTGGACCAAGCTTAGGCTGTGCTGTCAGGCCTCAGTCACACGCACATTCATGCCGCCCTCCTCTCACTAGGGCCTCTCTCACAGGGTCTCTTTCATATATCAACGACTCATCCTGCCTTGCTCCCTCTTGGAGCGGGCCCCTTAGGCCATAGGCTTAGCCAGTCCATCCCTTGGGTGGCAGACGTATCGTCTTTTGGTCCTCCCCTGTGACCCTCACTGGGGTAGTGGCCAGCCAATTACCCGACCGGGTCTAAGCTTGCTCTAGCCCCTTCCTGGGGCAACTCTATATACATAAACATACTGGGCACTCAGCCCTCTGGTTTTCCTTCCTCCCCCCCCCGGGGCTCTTCATCTCCGCCCCTTTCTGGAGCCACCCCTCACCAGGGCAATCTTATCCCCTCACTCGGGGCTCCACCACCCCCTCACTTGGGGCCATGGGGCTTCGCTCCCAGGTGGGCTCAGATGGCTGCAGCCATGCCTGGCCCCACTCTCCCTCCTCAGGGTCTCTTGGGGTCTTGCACCCCACAGGGATCACGTGGCCTCAGCCGTGCCTGGCCCCCAACTACCTCTGGTGTTACTTAACTCACCTGAAGGTGAGGACTAGGGTTAAGACACCTCTACCCGCCTTTCACCAAGGTGCTAACTGGCCTGGCATTTCCTAGGGGCTCCTGTGCCACTGAGAGCCCCACCAGGCCACCCACGCCCGGCAGGGTGCAATTTTAGGTCATGCCCAGGACCAGGAGCCTCCTATCCATCCCCTACTGCTCCTGCCCTTACCTCCAGGATGTTATGGAGCCTTGCAGCCAGGCCACGTTACTGCCTGCCCTGCCAGCAGGAAACCGATCTATTTATATGGGCAGCCAGAGATCTGAAATGGTCGCCGCAGTCAAGCACCTGCTGGCTACTTGGCCTACTGCAGCCCCTACCATGTGGCGAGCACCCCAAAGATGCTCCGCCACAATGCCCCTCTGGGCAGCGGGGCTCACACCTCCTGGCAGCGCTGCAGGGACCTGCGAGGCCCCGCTGCCTTCCTCCCAGCTGTGTCCTCCTCCAGGCTGAGGTTTCTCTGGCACTGGCTGAGATACCCGCTGTGTGTGATGTGGGCTGAGAGCAGCTAGAAGAAAGCAAATGTTTCTCCTTTTTTAAGATTTTTTGTGTGATTATTTTCAAACAAACATTCACAATGAAATGTATCAAGGAAAAGCAGAGTAGGGGCAAGACGGGGCCATGCCCCTGCCCTTCCACTCTTTGTTTCAGGCCCTGCCTCCCCCATGGCCCTCAGGCACCAAGTCTGATCAATGCAAACTCCTGTACGCTGGTCCCTCCCTTTGGGGCTTCCAGGCATTGGCGACACGTAGTGGGTGCATGCAGGTGCACGTGCACCCCCTGAGATTTGCCGTGTAGCCCCTGGAAGCGCCAGCCGCAAAACCAGAAG